AAGGTTTTGAAATAACAACAGGTAAATCTCGTTATAAAACCACAACTATCTGAGACAAAAATCTGGAAAGGTTTTGAAATAACAACAGGTAAATCTCGTTATAAAACCACAACTATCTGAGACAAAAATCTGGAAATGTTTTGAAATAACAACAGGTAAAATCTCGTTATAAAACCACAACTATCTGAGACAAAAATCTGGAAAGGTTTTGAAATAACAACAGGTAAAATCTCGCTATAAAACCACAACTATCTGAGACAAAAATTTGGAAATGTTTTGAAATAACAACAGGTAAAATCTCTTTATAAAACCACAACTATCTAAGACAAAAATCTGGAAAAGTTTTGAAATAACAACAGGTAAAATCTTGTTATGAAACTGCAACTCTCTGAGACAAAAAATCTGGAATACTTATAGAAAAAATAATAATAAATAGAGAAATTCTCGCTATACTTGCCGCTTCAGCCATCATAAGTCACGCTTGAGCTGGCTTATACAGTGTGATTTACACGGGGCAAATGACATTAACTTCTTCAACTTATAAAATCACTAACTTATCAATGGTGTATGACAGCTTTAGTTACAGGGAGAAGGCCTTGTTTGATATTAGCTTTTTCAAATGTCTCTTGATGAAATACACCGTACTTAAAATCTGCAAATGTTGGTGTTTTTTATTTCTGAAACATAATTTAAGTAAGAGTATAAGTAAACTCTGTTGAACTTGAATTCCCAAAAGCACGTTCCGATCGCTAAAGAAAGAAAACCATTTTACAAAAGAACAGGTTTATTTGTCTTCCCACATGTATATGACTGTGCAAAATATTTTGAAGAAGTCCTAAATTACAACTGTTAAGTTATACTAAACTATAGAGTCCACAAGGTTTCATTATTCTAGTTTACTGCAACTATTAGCAAAGCTCACACAATGATTCACCTATTTATGCAAACAGACTTAGAACATAGTCGTAGCAGCATGTTCATTATAAACAAGTGTATGATATAGTCGTAGCACCATGGTGATCATTTATACACATACAAAAGTAAAATGCAGTCGTAGCAGCATGGTGATTATACATATAAACAAGTGTAGAATACAGTTGTATAAGCATGGTACTTATACGTATAAACAGGTGTAGAAGACAGTTGTAACAGTATGACGATCATACATATACACAGGTTTGGAATATAGTCGTAGCAGCATGGTGATTATACATACAGATTATGTATGTAGAATATATTTATAACACCACGGTGATTATGTATAAAAACTGGTATAGAATATAGTTGTAGCAGCATGGTGATCATTTACAGATGTACATAAGTATAATGTATTTGTAGCAGCTTGGTAATCAAACATGAATACAGATGTAGAATGTAGCCGTAGCAGCTTAGTACTTATACATACAGGTGTAGAATGCAGCCTTAGCTATTTGGTAATCATACATACAGATATAGGATGTAGCCGTAGCAGTTTGGTAAGCATACATACATATGTAGAATGTAGCCGTAGCAGTTTCGTGACCGTACATACATACATACAGATGTAGAATGTAGCCGTAGTAGATTCGTAATCATACATACAGATGTAGAATGTAGCCGTTGTTGTTTGGTAATCATACATATATACAGATGTATAATGTAGCCGTAGCAGTTTGGTAATCATACATACAAATGTATAATGTAGCCGTAGCAGTTTGATAATCATACATACAGATGTATAATGTAGCCGTAGCAGTTTGGCAATCATACATACAGATGTAGAATGTAGCCGTTGTTGTTTGGTAATCATACATATATACAGATGTAGAATGTAGCTGTAGTAGTTTGGTAATCATACATACAAATGTATAATGTAGCCGTAGCAGTTTGATAATCATACATACAGATGTATAATGTAGCCGTAGCAGTTTGGCAATAGTACATACAGATGTAGAATGTAGCTGTAGTAGTTTGATAATCATACATACAGATGTAGAATGTAGCTGTAGCAGTTTGGCAATCATACACACAGATGTAGAATGTACCAGTAGCTGTATACAACAAACCCAGTAATTCGAACGCTATCTGAAGGATATACCACCCTAAGTCATGCATGCAAGAAATGGTTTATCTTTTATATAAAAGCGCTTAGATTATCAGAAGTTTTGTATTTTGAATTATTTAGTTCTTGTTTTTTAGTGTCATGGCCATAGCAGTAGTAAGGTATAAGTACATAAATGTAGAATATGCTCTTAGCAACGTAATATGTAATATGGTATAGAAATATTACCATTGTACCATTGTGAGCTGATTGGTAAAAAAAATCGCTGTAAATTAAGAACACTTAGTGTAATTTCAGCAATGTAGTTTTTCTATAAAAAAATGATATAGCTCTTAACACACTGTTTTATTAACGTTTAGAACCGAAAAGGTCTCCTTAAATGAATAATATGCTGATAGAAACTATATCTTGTCATACAGAAACAACAGCAATACAATGTTTAGAGTCAGCTTGTGGTGTGAACACAGCAGTAATACACTGTTTTAAACAGATTATCATAAGGAAACAACAGTAATACATTATTTAAAGCTAGCTTATGTATAGAAACAGAAGTAATATACTGTTTAAAGCTAGCTTATGGTATAGAAACAGAAGTAATGTACTGTTTAAAGCTAGCTTATGGTATAGAAACAGAAGTAATATACTGTTTAAAGCTAGTTTATATATATATATATTCCTGTAAACTCCCAGTGGAGCATAGGGAACGGAAAGTATTGTTGCAGTTACTTGTAGCAGGTTGTTTTTTTACGGGGTGGAGTTGCTATTTACTATTTAAAACGAGATTATCACTTCCAAACAATGTGCGTTTATTTGAACACATGTTATGAAACATACACTTCAAACCATACATATATATATAGGTTTTTTCTAGGTTTTTTTCAGGCATTACAGTACTATCTTATGAATTCTTTAGTTCCCAGTAATTGAAGATTTGCAGGAAGGAAATATATATACCTAACAAGCTACAACTGAATTAGCAGTTTAAAGATAAACAGTATTTAAAAGCTCGACAAAATATTTATAGAATAGTTTGGTTTTTGTAAGTATATGATAGAAAGGTACATCATTTACCTGTCGGAAGTGGATGTGACGTCACAGTATATTGGGGAGTGAAAATACTTTCAGTATTGGACTGGAATCCTACTAAACACGTGGTGAGAAGTCCTTGTTTAACAGTACTGTAGAGTAACTACAGTATGCTCATGGTGAGAACGCAAATCCGCCATGAATTGCTCGCAAATTAATGGAAACAAGGATCTTCTTGCAAGCTCCGTAATCAATTTGGAGAAAGCAGAGCAAATCTTGGAAGGGGCGGGACGAGCCGTGCTAATTGTACAGTGACGCCGCCAGAGACGAAACCTAGCGCTGCGATCAGTAACTCGGCCAATTGGAAGCCGAGTGATCCTCCCCTTAGGAAACCTGACAGCCCCCTGCCGGCAAAGGTTGTAGGGTGATTATCAAGTTAAGCTCGTTCGTTTAAGTCAGCATCTCTGCAAAAGTCTGGCGGTAGGAGGTACTATAACTAAATAGGACTTGTCGTTCATAAGTTAGTCCTCCCTCCATGTCCTCCTCCACCCGCAAGGTTATAGTAAGGACTAAAAACAGTATAGCTTCCCGCAGCGAGCAAGTGTCTGTGCAACCGCTGACATACAGCCCACACGTTACGTAGCCCACAATACGTTAACTGTCGGTCGGCTCTTCGCTAGTACTCTCGCCTTTACTACGATCATCGTGTCAGCAATTCACCAGTCGAGTCGCAAACAAAGTTAGTTATTTTACTGTGAAGTCTAGTATTGCTGGTTTACTGAGCCACGTGGTTTTAACCGATATAAGAAGCTATCAGCTTTAACAGTGCGCGGCTTTCTACTGAGTACAGCTTTGAAGGAAACTTAACTGTTCGGAACTGGTTTATATTTAACATTTTCATGATAAAATTAATATCTATTAAAGTGTACATGCTGGCTCTACGTTGTGTTTGACTTTCTCTAATTTTTGAAAAGAGAAAAGATGGACAAAATGCAGGTTTCGGAAGGCTCAGAAGGTGGAGGTGTCACAAGACCAAGATCAGCACGAGATGTCAGTCTTAGTTCTCCCGCTGGCTCCCCTAGCTCGCCTAGTGAACCATCGGTGTCCCCTCCGCACCCTCATGCAGTTACCAAACCTAAACTATCTTTCAGTATCAGTCGTTTATTAGGAGAGGAGAAGAAAAAAGAAGACAACAAGTCGCCTTCATCGGATTTGGAGGTTAGCTGCATGCAGTGTGACAATCCCCAGGTGTCCTATTATGAAAGTATCAGTAACCTTAATGTCACGTGCAGTTCAGGACTGCCGTCATTACACCTGAACAGTATCAAAGCTCCAATGGCGCATAACTTCATGCCAAGTTTCGACAGTTTTACTATGAACGGCGCGGGCTCTGTGATTCGAGTGCCTGCGCACAGGCCAGCACCGCTGCCGTTCACCTCGGCATTCCCATGGATGGGTCCCGCTCAGTCTCTTGTGAAAGACCGTATTCAAGGTAGGCATTAATGAAGTTTCTTTCATAGCTGATGATTTGAATGTAAACATAAAAATTATAATACAACGCTTCTCGCTATGCCTCATTTAGTCAATGGCAGGTTAGACGAATACCCGGTTCTTAAAAAATATAAAGAAAATACAGTTGTTCAAGGTCCGTTTCTCGCCTCGATACAGGGCAGGAATATCATTAAAATAACATTAAGATATTTTTTTATGAATTTCCGTACTCATTTAAGCCGAGCTTCAGCTGCTAAAACATGTTGTCATGGGGATCTGAGCGAACCCAGGAAAACCCTCTAGGCGTATAAATCAGTTGTAAAACTGACAGCTCTGACAAAAACACTGTTGTTTGCATACTCTAGATGGATAGCGAAACTATTTAAGTTTTTATTTTGATATAACTGTTGCTTCTAAACCATGGGGTACGATGCAGTGATCAAATACTGGCACTTGCTGTGATCTGTGTTATTTTACCTTGTTAGAATTAATTACCTGGTTGTTGAATGGCTTGCAGTCCCAACAAAACACAAGCAGAACATGTATTTCCAATCTAACTATGCATACAATCTAGATGACATTTCATTTTACTGAACTGTTTTTTAAATTGTATCTTACATAAAGGCATGCAATTTATATGAAAATATAATTATCATAGTAAAAATATCTTAAAGAGGTCTTTCATAGTACAGAAACTGTCACTGCTATTATAAAATATAAGAAGTAACAACCTTTACCTAGCTCTTGTCTCCGCCTTCAAAATATATCTGTCTCTTTCCTGGGGTAGTCATGCTGTAAAACATGATCCCTCGCCAGGTTACAACGCTACAACGTTAATGCTATCTATGTTTCACGATAAATCGCTTGATGCGCAATATTTAACACCAAGAGAACCTGGATTCGCTGAGAGATCTATATTTAACAAACACTTGTAGAAATAACTTGGTTTAGAATAAATCGAAGAATATCCTCTGTGAGGAAAGGTGCTCTGATAGTAACTGATTAACGCGTTCCGGAGTTATTTTTCAGAAATAAAAACACTTTTGTCCCTCAATTTCGTGAAATAAACAAAATCATTGATGCGATTTTACATTTCTCAAATAATGGAAGATAAACTTTGGTATTATCCACTCACAAAATTTGTTAGTATTTCCATTTTTTTTCTCAATATTTTATAAAAAAGTTGCAGCTGGCCCAGGCATTTTATTTAAAAAGTTCAATTATAACATAAAACTATGCTTGAAATGGTAATATTTGGACGTTCTATTTTTGGATATTTGAACAACAGTAAAATTCATATAATTAAGTCCATATAAAAGTTACAATAATTCTCCACGTTTAGACTAAGTTGCATCAACCGTCACAAAGCTTATGTTACTTCAGTACAGCTGAAACCTGGCTGAAGGAAAACGTTTTAATACAGCTGAAACCTGGCTGAATGAAAACGTTTTAATACAGCTGAAATCTGGCTGAATTAAATCGTTCCAATACAGCTGAAATCTTGACAAATCAAACCGTTCCAATACAGCTGAAATCTTGTCAAATCAAAACGTTTCAATGCAGCTGAAATCTAGCTGAACAAAAACGCTCCTCTACGTAGAGAATCCCTGTGAAGTCTGTTTCTACCTGTTTGTTAAGTCCACGTTTTAAGCCTCAAACAACATATCCTTAAGAGTTCCGTTCACAAATGAGTTAATTCGGGCAAAATTCTAACTTAATTAAATTTCTTTTTACGTTAAAGATGATTACATGCTAATAATAATATCGAATGTGGTAACAAAAGAAACGTGTTATAAATATATCACTACTAAGACTTGAAATGAACTTGGAATTTACAAATAAGATGTTACATTCTGAAAACTATTATAAACCCCCACTCCCGAAAAATTAAAAGGAAAATTATATCATTTTATATATAAATATGAAAACTTGTTTTTATATTTAAAATAACGACACGTTTCCTTGTTTCATAATAGCAACTCAACAAAACCAATGACAAATTAGATGCTACATTGTGAACAATATTAAAACCTCCCCCACAGAAAGAATACAAGGAAAAGGAACGTGTGGGTATTTTAAATATAAAAATAAGTTTTTATATTCATATATAAAATGATATAATTTTCCTTTTATTTTTTTAGAGGGTGTATAATAGTTTTCAGAATGTAGCATCTAATTTGTCATTGGTTTTGTTGAGTTGCTATTATGAAACAAGGAAACGTGTCGTTATTTTAATTATAAAAATAAGTTTTTATATTCATATATAAAATGATGTAAGTGATTCATAATAGTAACTTAACAAAACCAATGACAAATAAGAATGAGTATAATATTTATCACAAAAAAGTCACTTATTCTGAAGATATTTATAGAGTTTTAAGGTCATTTTTACTTAAATTAACTTAGGTTACTATATGAAGGGTGTGTGAGGAGGGGAAGAGGGTGTAACAACTTAGTAAGGAGTCTGCCATTATTACAGGGACCTAAAATGTTAAATGATATTGTGAGAATATTATATTTGTATAGTACATTCCACAGATCTAAACATTTATATGATATTACGAGATAACAGCTTTGTACAATACATTCCACAGGTCTAAACGTGTATTTTGTACTAGGGTATAACAGCTTTGTACAATACATTCCACTGGTTTAATGATTTGATTTGCAATAAAGGATCTAGCCATGCAGCTCTTGATTTGATTTGTAATGAAGGATCCAGTCATGTAGCTCTTGATTAGATTTGTAATAAAAGATCCAGTCATATTGCTCTTAAGTGGATTTTTATGAAGGATTCAGTCATGTAGCTCTTGATTCGAATTATAATAAATGATTCAGTTATGTAGCTCTTGATTCAAATTGTAATAAAGGATTCAGCCAATAGCTCTTGATTCGATTTATAATGAAGGATCTAGCCAATAGCTTTGGATTCGATTTGTAATATACTCTTGACAGTAGGGACGCCAAAGGGAGGTGAGAAGGGGTGGGCACCAATCCTGAAACTTGTCTGTCTTCCCTCCCCTCCCTAAAGCATTCTTTAAAAGGTTTAGTAAAAGCTACATCTCTCACAATACAATGTGTTTAGTTACTAGGTCACCTGACAGAAGGAACACCCACCAAACAAAATATTATCCAACTTCTGATTAGCCCTTGGAGCTTCTTACTTTATCTTCCCTAGATTTCCTTCCACTTACCCTTTAAAAAATGGCTTCCCCTAAATCCATCTATTTACCACCCGTTCATACCTCACTCTAAGAATCGTCGCTGCTGTTGACTGAATTTTTTTAATGAAGAATCCAATACGTAATTATTGAGTGAAATGAGTAGAATGTTAATTATACGTTTATTAATAATTAAATAAATGGACTTAATACAAGAAAGATGATACCAATTTAAAAGTTTACTGTTGACGCTTTGCTATTTAGGAAGTTTTAATTGTTTGAGGTTAAGCACAAAGCTACACAATGGGCTATCTGTGCACTGCCCACCGCAGGTATCGAAATCCGGTTTTTAGCAGACATATCTCTGTGCCACAGTAACAGCACAGTTCAGATAACGTTAATTGTATGACCACTGGCTATAAGTTGCTAATTATGTTTGGTATAGATTTTTTCATCTTGATATTCATCCTTTTTACACAGTCTATTAAAGATAACTCAGAGCAGTGTGAAAAGAGTGGCAATATATCTAACACATTACGAAGCACTTATGGTGGGGTTTGATCGAATGGTGTGACTGAATAATGAGGGAGATTGAATAGTGATGTGATTGAATGGTGATAGTAAACATTAGACTCTGAGCATAAAACATAGCTAAGGAAGAATAGCTGTTAAAGCTAATAATTTGAATATATACACTCGTGAATATATCCCATGATGTATAATAATACAATAAATTCTGAGACTGTACTGGAATAAACGGCATCACAGTAAGAGAATAAACTCTATTACAGTAGGGAAATAAACGGCACCATAGTAAAATAATAAACATTATTATAGTAGAGAAATAAACGGCACCATAGTATGAGAATAAACGCTATTACAGTAGAGGAATAAATGAAATCACAGTAAAAGAATAAACTCTATTACAGTAAGGGAATAAACGGCACTATAGTAAGAGAATAAACACTATTAGAGCAAAAAATATATATTCCATGATGGTAAAGGGATAATCTCCAGGACAGTCAGAGGATAAACTCACCGATAATAACATAACGAACTCCATGGCTGCTTGTATATATATATCAGGTCAGGATGGATTATTGTTTAGTTAAAGGCCGTCATTATGCGGCATTACTTGTAATCTCTAACGCATGGTTTAGTGGCTCGAATCGCAACTTGTGGGTTGCGAGTTCGAATCCCATCACCGTGGGAGCGTAACAATGTTCGTTGGTAAAAAGTAGTCCAAGAACTGGAGGTAGGTGGTTGTGACTAGCTGCCTCTCCTCTAGCCTGTCGCTGCTAAACAAAAGACCACTGGCGCAGATAGCCCTTGCGTAGCTTCGCACGAAATACAACAAACAAAACACAAATTACTTAATAAAGACTTCTAGGACTTTTCTCCGAGAAAGAAAGAGATGGTCCATTATTTTAACTCAAATTAAATATACAGGTGTTAACAACTGGTTTTTTAAAAACTGAAATCGTGATGAAACATTTGCACCAGAAATGTGAGGTTTCAATGTGTAATTAATTGCTTTTCATGAATCTAAAAGTCTTCGTTATAGGCAAACATTTTTATCTAGATCTCGATACCGTAAGATCAAGTTAATTAATATGATTCCATTATATCATTAATTAAACACTCCTGAGCCGGGGCGAGAGTATTATTTTCTCTCCAAATATATCACGAAATCTGAGGGTCGCATGTTCGAATCCTTTCACCGAACAAGCTCACCCTTTCAGTCGCGGGACGGTCAATCCCACTATTCTTTGGTAAAGAGTAGACCAAGGGTTGTCGGTGGGTGGTGTTTACTAGCTGTCTTCCTTCTAGTCTATCACTT